TTTAAAACAAAAATAAGCTGAGCTTGAATCTTGAATTGGCAATCAAAGGATGTAGTTGGCTAGGAACTCTATTATGAAAAACACATTTAAATCTTTAACAGATATATCTAAAGGAGCCGATACAGATTTTAAAATGTATTTACTGTAATAAACCCTAATTCTGTTGTAAGTTTGCGAATATTTTTAACTTTACCAGTTACAATTAAATCTAAAGAGCAATTAGTTTCCAAATTCAAAATAATAAATCGTCCGAGATCTACCATGTCACAGGAACGGCTAACGAATTTGAATATAATGGTAATTGAAAATATCTGCAAATTTAGATCACTCCGAGGATCACTTGCAACTTATTGACCAATAGGCAATAATAAAAGCCAGAAAAATATGTATGTAGTAAAAACCAATTTTAGTTTTTTTTTTGTACTGGAGCCTGCATTTGGTTCATGCTTATAAAAATTACACCGGTTTCGTTGTATATGTTTTGTTATTTCTTTTGAATCTTAGTAAGATTTATATTTTAATTTTACAATTTGTTAAATATTAATTAGAATTTCATAAAATATCTTTGTTTAAAAAAATTGCTTTTTAATATATATGGGCAACATTTTTAAGCTTGAACAAAGGGGCTAAGAACGGCCCTGGGTAGGCAACGTAAGCAACTTAAAATTTTTTACATAATATCGATCTCTACGGATTCCACGCTTTACTGCATAACAAATGGCAGGCATGTTTTTAATACAATACTTTTATCGACAAGCAAACTACTTTGACAAGGAAATATGACCAGAAAACTGTTAAATATACATATGTGTATGATTCAAAAAAATAACTAATACATAACTGGTCTTTAAAATAACTTAATATTATTCAAAAATTCACACCGAATCACGACCGTCACGTATAAAATAATAATGGTAAGCTTGTATGTCTAAAAGCGGCCGTATTGCTTTCTATCTGACAATAAACATTCATTCTGTCTACAGGGAAGCAAGGCGGAAATTTTCGTAGCCCACTTGCATATAAAAATTCCGTATCTGAGACATACGAGCGCAAGGGACGTAGTTCGAACTGGTTGTTAGATTATGATTGGAACAAGTAAAGCATAGTGGCCATATGAAAGTTATAAATAGAAGTGAAATATATTTTTTTTTATTAAAAATATTATGGGGAGAAAATATGCATCTTCATTTTATATTTATATAAATTGGTTTCCTCTTTTACTGTGTACGGCCCTTATAGACAAGTGGCCACATTTTTACATTGGTCTCCAATTTCATTCTTTTTTTTATTAAATTTAACGTATAGTAGGTATAACACTTTGTAATCACATTTCTTGCACTGCACTGATTTTTTGAAAGTGTTTGGACGCAGTCGTGTATAAATACAAATTAAATTTGTATACTGTGTTAAAATGAATTTTACTGTTAACCAGATTTAAGACGCCTCTAAATGGGTTTCTTTATATCTCTTGGATGCTATTAAACCGTGAAATACAATTTGTCATAAACACCATACTTTCCATTTTTTTTTTATTAATGATCGTGGTCGAATACCACTTTCTTAGAATTTTCATTAATTTGAGACTTTTTTAACAGCTATTTTTAGTATAAGATAATAATGTAAATAGGTACCAAATCTTAATATTGTAAATGTGATTATCATTTCTATTCATTTTCTAGTTATATTAGTATGTATTATAATTAGTTTTTACTTTCCTGTAAACCAGTATGGAAAATATAAGAACCTAGTTTTCAACAACGTTTTGGGGTCCTTGAATCAGTTTTGACCATTTTCGCGATGATGTCCGTATGTATCCACGAAAACTAAAAAACGGATAAAGACAAAAACACCAAATTTTACACTTAAACTGTAATACATTTTGGGCATAGTCGGTTCATCTGGGGGATACTTTATAGGGAGACGTTTTTTCTACTTTAAGTTATTTTTTTTTGTTATTAATGTTAAGACAAGAAAAGTAAGAGATTTTTGTGATATACTTGTCTACATTTTTTGTTCTATACATAATTTCTCTAAAATATACCGCAATGTGGAAAAGTGCAAAATTTGAATTTTTACTTTGCTATCTGTATACAGATAAGGAAAGTATAGGAATAATGATTTTTTTCGACCTCGAGTTTTCAACGGATTTTTACGTTTTGGAGTCTCCTGATTCCGTTTTAACTATTTTCGCGATAATGCATGTGTGTGTGTCTGAATAGTCGATAACTCATGAACGGATAAACAGAAAAACACCAAATTTTAAACTTAAGCTTTAATCCATCCTGTAGCGAAGTGTTTAGATTTTTGAGTATTTTATTAATCGAATTAAATTACGGGTTTTGAGCTTACATTAAATTGTAATTAGATGAAACCAAATGGAATCTATGTATTTTGAGGTGATCTTTTCGAAAAAAGGCAAAACAAATGTAGCAGTTTTTCGAAAGTGCCGAAATTTTGGATTTTGTCAATTTTTCAATTTTGCGCAGGCGCATGTCGGAAATAAATCAATATTTTTAAAACGCAGTTTACGACATTTGAAAGCTTAGGAAAAATGCTAATTTTTATGTCTCTTGAGAAATTTTGATCCGATGCACCGTTCTCGCGGTATGGACGATTGAAATTTGTTTAGTATTTTGAGGCGACGAAGGTCGAAAAATTGAATTTGTTAAATGTTCAAACACTAAATTCTTTATAACATTGGTAAAAATTAAGATATTTGAAAAAACAAAAATGCGTTTAGAACTTAAGGGATGTGACTAGTGATTCCCAGAAGGGGGCAAGAGAAATCCCAAAATTGGGCATATGGCGGAAGGGCAAAATGCACCGCGGTCCTAATTTCATTGTTTGCCTATAACGGCCAAACTATTTGAATTTTTTTAATGCCACTTACATAGCTTACTCTTAAATGTGAAATCTTATGTGTGTGTGAATTTCACCGACATCGGACCATAATTGGCTAAGATATCAAACAATTAAATAATTTTTTTTTCCAAAAAAAAAATAATTTTTTTTTTTTTCGAAAGTTTGAAGTGGCACAAAAATGCCAAAAATGCACCCAATGGCTAAAAACTTTTTTTTTGAGTACTCTATTGTGTCCAGAATACGATTACATTACGGAAAATTCTGCAAATATATTTTATCTATTTTTTTGACCACTGTTCATTGAGTGACGACCAAAAAACACGGTGTTTGAGAAAAGTTGCCTAAAATTGACAATTTTTAGTTTTTTTGTCTGAAAATTAAACAAACCCAAATTTCATGTCTTCTAAATGTGTATACAAAATTTAAAGTGTGTATGTTTCTTCTAAGTTGTAGAATTCTCCCGACAAAAGTCCCATTACACGCGCTCCGCGGGATCCAAAACTCGTGTATACACTACATTACTGTAATTTGATTTTTTTGCGATTTCCAGTTTTAAATTTCTTGCATATCTAAATTTATTAGGCTTAAAATTTATTAAATTGTATTTTACTGACTTGTTATAAGACGTTTCTTGAGTTTTGTGCAAAATATAGAATTACCAGATATTAGCGAACAAAAAGCAAGCTTATCACCAAGTTGGAACTTACACTCAGGCTTAGGATTAATTTCCTAACATTTTTAATGTATACCTTTTTGTGTATTTTTTGTGCTCTTTTCGATGGCGAAGTTAGTTTTTCCAAATATATTTATTTTGTTAAATGTTTTCGGAAAACCGGAAAAAATCACATGGGAAAAAAATTTAAAAAAACTACGCCTCTGGTTTCCTGCGAATTCCCGAAAAATTATGTCAGATTTCGCCGCGGGACTTATTTTATTTGAGAGCCAACAAAAAAATACGCAACTTCTCTCATGGGCACATATGTCTAACATTTATAATTTCGCCACAAATTCATCGCAAATTTCATGTCCATGGTTCTGATCAAAAAAACGAAAAAACGACTTTTTGGTAAAAGCACTTCTGGCGGCGAGAAATTCGCCATTAAAACTACCTGTGCAATGAATTTCCGAACTATTTTTGCCTCCTCTTTCGAATGGTGCATTTATTTTCACTATCGGAATGATACTTGCCCAGATAATTAGCATTTTTACAATGGAAAATTCCGGTTTTTCCCAATTTAAAAAAAATTGAAAAACTGCTACATCTTTTTTTTTCTTTTTTTCGGAAAGATCACATCAAAATACACAAGGTCCTTTTTGTTTCATCCAATTACAAATTAATGTAAGCTAGAAGGGGCTTTTTTTCGTTATTTAATTGGATGGAGGTCGTTTTTTTTTTAATATATTCTGTTATTTACGCTTTGAGAAGAAAATTCTTTCAATAAATGTTGCTTGTGATTTTATTCTCTATAATTTTTCAAATTTGAATTTTTAAGAAAGCTGTTCAAAAAAAAGTTGCTTGTTATGCCATTCCCTGTAATTCTTGTCCCGTACATGATTTCCCTAAATTGGACCGTATTCGAAATATTTGAGAAGTGCAAATTTAGAAGATAAATTAAAAACGAATAAATAGAAAAACACCAAATTTTAAATTTATGCTTTAATCCATGGACTTATCAAATTTTGAGCATAGTCGGAACATCTGGAGGTACTTTATAGGGGTCATTTTTTCTACTTTATTTATATCTGTTATTTACGATTGAAGAAGAAAATTCTACTAATAAAAATTGTTTGCGATATTATTTTCTATATTATTTGTTCTATACATCATTTCTCTAAAATTTTTATTTTTCAGTGTTTTCATTTTGTCAATAAGTTCCGAGTAATTTATATTCTAAACATTTTTTTAATTAAATGAGCCGTACTCAATATTTTATAACTTTACAGAAAAGTCATGTGTTGAACAAATCAGATATTTTTTGTACATATTATGAATACTATCTACAATAATGATTATTTTTTATTCAGAAATTGGAAATGGGTTTGTCCTTTGAATAAATAAACCCCATCCTACCATCTGTATTCACCCACATTTTAATAGAGGCAATGTCGTAAAAGTAATTTTTCCTTTCAGATAAAAAATGACTGAAACGCAAGACCAAGAGCAGGTCGTAATGACGCCTAAATGCAAGACTCACAATTCTACTACTTTGATCATCGAAAGGCGAAAAATCGCCAAAACTAGTGACAAAATGCACGTTGCAGGCGGGGAACACACAGGGATCATCATAAATAAGGAAGCAGCAACAGGTTAGTGTCAAAATAACTGACATGTCGCTGTCAGTAGCAGAAGGGTTTTTAAACACCACATCACGACTGTAATTACAAAAATATATGCGAAAACAAGAAATATTTTAAAAAATAATGAAAAGGTGAACTTCTGCTTACACTGGTGTTTCTTCGCAGATACTTCATTTATATTAAAAAGTTTTTGATATTTTCATTAAATTTATCGAGTTTTATTGTCTTATGTACTAATGTTAATGAGTGAAGTATTTCTAACGCCGTATGCAAAACGCCTAAACTGTTCTGAATAATTTTTAGACGTAGCTTCGTGTGGATTGAGTCACAATAAAATGTCTATTAAAAAATAAAAATATTCCCATTATTTTTTACTTGGTGTGTATAGAGATGAGTAAGTCTTGGCTAGGAAATTATTGTTTCAGATTGTATTCAGAGCTGTTTAAGATCATTTTAAAAACGATTTAAATCAAAGATCATAAATCGTTTGCATTTGAACAAATGATTTAAATCAAAGATCGATTTTTAAAAAAGAAAGATTTAAATCAAATATCTTTTTTAGATTTAAAAATCTTTTCGAAATATCTAAATCTTTTTAAACGAAATAAATATTTTCAACAGATTTAAATCTTTTTATAGATTTGGGTAAGTAACTCTTTAAAAAATGTTTTCGGTAGGCCAAAGATAATGAATGCTTAAGTAATGTGATTTTCTCATAAATAAAACGCAAAACTCGATCAACTTTTCTCGTATTTATTTTTTATCGTTATTAGTCCAATTCAATTCTTACGGAAATATTAATTTTAAATAATAAATAGCCGATCAAGATAAATTTTTTAAGGATTTATGCAGCTTTGATATCTATAGTTATGAAAATTGTTATTTAAAAATGTCATGTCGATTGGTAAATAGGAATTTTTCAACCCTTTAAAAGATACTTTGGTATGCCTATGATGCCACAAAACAGCGAAGACCTAGTTTTTAAGAAAAGTGATTTTTTTTCTGAACAATCACTTAAATCCGTCAACTCTTCCTTGAGTTAACGTGCTTAATGTCATACATACATAAACACCCCACATAGATGCACATACATCAGACTCTTCAAAAATATGTTTTTTTGTACTTAGGATACTCGCCCGGAAAAACGCATTTCATTTTCAAAATCTCCCGGCTATGAATAATGAAATTGAGTGGGTTGAATTAAAAGAGTTCTTCTCTCAACGTGAAGTTATTGCGAGTAAATAAATAACCAAAGTGAGCGCGTTTGGGTTAATTTTTTTGAAAAATGTGGATGAATCAGGCAAAAAAATAAAAAATTTAATTAATTCGCTCTATCTATGCCAAGCGTGTTTATTGAACATAATCGTCTTAATGCAACTCATGTCAAATCTGAAATAAAAGTGCGCATAAATTTAAAATACATACGTAAAGAGTTTCAGGATTATATCGATAATGAAAAAGTATTTCCAGCTGCTTGCGGTGTAAGAAATACAACTTTACAAAAAAAAATATCGGGTCAAAAATATTGTAAAATTTCATACTTAAGAATAATCTTTAGTCATTGCAATTATTTGTTACACTTTACTATTTTTTGTTTTTCTTTTCTCTCGGATTTCTGATTCAACCCTACTGACATACTGGCTAGATTATTCAGGAATAGACAGGTTGATAACGATTTTGACGAATCAGGTGATGTAAACCCAGACAACACACCAAATCCCAGAGATATCCGCAGAATATCTTTTGTGGATATCCAATATATCCACAGGATATCAGAAATATTCCGTGGATCTAATATGGATATCCAAATGTCCGTCTATATCCAGGATATAGTAGATATCCTAATGGATATTCAGCAAAATATCTAATGGGTATCTTCCAGAAAATACAAGAAATCACAGAGATATCCACAGAATATATTTTGTGGATATTCAATATATCCAATATGGATATCCAACCAAATGTCCGTCTATATCCCAGGATATAGAAGATATTCGGATATTCAGCAAAATATTTTATGGGTATCTTTAGTAGAGGTTCATAAGTAACCAATGATTATTGAATAACGTCGAAATTATTTTCAACACTCTGCCTTTGATTTTGCCCACTAAGGAGAAAGTCATCCTTATTAGGACTCTTCAGCAATAAATGAAAATTATCGACTCCAGTCTCTAATGGAGTGATTAGGACACACATTTCGATCGAACTCAATTACGGCGGGTCGAGCATGAGTAGATGCGATAGTAGTATCGCCATCTATACTTAGTAAGCAGAATCAAATAACATCTAGTGGATATCCACGATGGTTTGCGTTCGCGCCTAGACTTTGATATATTTAGTGGATGTTCATGGGATATTGAATACACCTTAAAAAATTAATTTTAAATATCTGAACGGTGCTATTAGCCACAATGGCGAGCACAATGGCGTAATTTTTTAATAATTTGCTATATAATTACTATTATTTATGGACATTTGCATGTCTATAAATTACATTTCATGGATATAAAATAGATATCTACCATGGACTGGACATTCAGTGGATATTGGGATGTTCAGTAGATATCCAAAGGATTTGGTGTGCTGTCTGGGAATCGTTTTAAAAAGATTTAAATAGTTTTAAAAAGATTTAAATCTAATTTTTAAATAAAAACTCGAAAATACTTTTCAAAAAGATTTAAATCATAAATCAAAAATCATTTTTTTAAAAAAGATTTAAAATCAAATTATTTAAATCTCACTGATAGGTGGCAGCTCTGTCTATAATTCATCCCCTTACGAATAAAATGCTGAAGCTCTAACTTTTATTTTTTAGAAAACGGTGTTGTCTGCCCGTCCCAACTTTCCCTCGAATTCAGGGTATTTCTAGTAAATAAAGAAACCGGCAAACACACTCAAGAATCGCGAACCATCCGATTTTGGTTCAGAGAAAGCAAACCAGCTCAGGACGAGACTGATGGTGGTCAGGCCGGCGTGGCTCAAGACTTTTTCAGAGAGTTGGTCAGCCCGCAGGAATTTCCCAGAGGTAAAACATCTGGTTCAAATAAAATAACGAATAATTCTCAAATATTTTTTTTTAGATTACGTTGGATTTATTAAAAAAATCATGAAATTGATGCAGCACAATTTTAATAGTATATTGAAGTTGGAAGTCGAATTAAAACAATTAGAGGAACCTATTGATGTACCTACTAGACCTTGTAAGTTTTTTTATAGTTTTCTTAAATATTTTTAATATTTTATATTGAAATATTTTATAGCAAATGGATTTATACCGATTGTAATTGATCTAGGGCCTTCTGTTACTCCGGGTAAAAATTTTGTGTGAATTTAGTGACTTTTTTTATTAATATCACTAATATTTTTTTTGTTTAATAATAAACATTTATACTAACATAGTTTTTCGTTTAAAATTTTGTTGATCAGTTTTTGTTTATTTTTTGACGCTTTGTTTTTTTATATTAATTAATTTTGCCGTCATAATTTTAATAACAATTATTACCGAACTTAACTTATTTTTTATTCGAATTAAATTGCATTCGTCATTAGAATATTTTTCTATTTTGTACATTTTCTGTCCATTTGAGTAATCTCGAATTATTAGTCAAAACTAATAATTATCCACGTCAAAACGTGAATCATTTTTAAAGATGACAATGTCACAATCCTAAAAAATTCAAACTGTAACTTTATCAATCTCTCAATTAGAAACAAATGAAGATCTCGAATTGCGATGATCGGAAAAATATTTCATATATTCTAAACATTTTCTGTAAGTTTGAGATATTTTTGAATTAAGTTTAACATGGATATATAATTTTTAAAGATGACCGACCATATCAAAACTCCTAAAAATCGAAAGTTTGACTTTATCATCCCATCATTTAAAAACAAATAAGTACTTCGAATTGAATCGGGAGAATTTTTCCACGTTATTCTGTACGTCTTCCGTGAATTTGAGATCACTTGAATTATTATTAACTTTTACGTGGATAATGTTTAAAGATGACCATGTTAAACTCCTAAAAATCCAAACTTTGACTTTATAATTCAATCATTTAAAAGCAAATAAATGCATCGAATTAAAAAGTTCAGCAAAATGTTTCCACGCCCATTTTGTACATCTTCAGAGAATTACAGATATTTTGAATAATTAATTTTGACGTGGTTAACTTTTAAAAATGCCTGAATGATTTTTTAAGTAATTTCAAGATTTTTCAATTAACTTTTTAACGATTTCATTTTTATTTTAGTATCGGCAGAAGAAAATTCTTTAGGTCACATTACCTTACTAACCGTGGAAAAAGTGCTAGAAATAGTAGAATCTTCTTATCCCAATCCGGTTACAATAAAAGATATTGCAAAGTAAGTAAAAAAAAACAAATATTGAAAGTGTTTTAATAAATATATATCCTAATTTTTAATCAAGGGAAAATGGTTGGGACGAGGAAGAAGTGGCTCAGTGCATTTCGGCACTCCAATCTCGTCAACTCCTCAAAGCCATGGATCACGGTGCTTTCACCCGTCAACAATCCCATGATGCCCATCAAGTGACCATCGTCAAACAAATGCCAACCGTAGCAAGCTCTAAACAACCCACTATTGCTATTATTACTGCTCAGTACTGTGAAAAGTTAGCTGTGGATGCTATGATAGAGAATAAGGAGACTTTTGTGAGATATACTACAGTAGGTGAGTTCTTGAGTTGTTTTTATTTCGACTGTTTTTATTTTACATTATTTGTGATGCTTTGTTGAAAGTTTTGTGACGTGTTTTACTCATGAAAATGTCAATTTTGACTTTGGAATCTCGTCATTTGGAAATCTGTAAGCATTATAAATCCTCGCTTACAACATAATACGTTGGTAGAAGATTGTCTGTGAATTTTAGATTCTTTGGTCGATTACTTTTGATCTAAGGAATTTTTTGAGATGACCATGTAACTATTAAAATCTGATTTTAGATTTTATCAAATTGCCATTTAAATAGCCTAAAAAATACTTCTGGTCTTTTAAAAGATGTTTCTACAACTATTTGTAATGTTTCCTTCTCCTGTACATTTGAGATTATTTCCATAGATTTAACCAGTGGAATTATTTAAAGATTACCATATCACATCCATGAAAATATAAACTTGAACTTTATCAGCACGTCAATAAAAAATTAGCAAAAAAATGTAAGTTGTGGTCTTCAACAGTGTGTATAACTATTTTGAACATTTCATGGAAAATTAAGGCTTTTTTAATTGGTAGTTTTATCATGAGGCCTGTTCCAACAACGATCAAAAACCAGTCACTGACACCAAGTATATAATGGTGAATTTTTAAATATGAATTTGTCACATCCATGAAATCTAAATTTTGACTTTATTTGTAAAATTCACAAACATTTTGAATCGTCGATGGTCTAATTCAAATTTCACATTTGGTTGTAGATGTACTCTGTCATTAGTTAAAATAAACCATATTGGCTTCGGATAATATTTACATGAGAAATTTGACTACTCTTAAAACCCTCACATATAGCACTATCAAATTGAAAAAAGCTTCATGAAGTTACAGGGTATTAGAATTAGACCATCATCATGCTCTTCAACAAAATATTTCTATAACTATTTTGACAATTTTAGGCTTTTTGAATGATTAGTTTTACCCTGGGAAACTTTTATTCCTTACAGTATTCCCAAACTGAGTTTATTAAATCTGAATAGTTTTAAGAGTAAGATAAAACAAAAATAAATATATACATTTTTATTTCAAACCTATTTATTCTGTTTAAAATCATACTGTTATAAGGAAACATTCTATATGGGTCATTCTCAGTTAAGCCGTAAATTCGACGTCCATAACAAAAAATCACCTTTTTTAAAAATTTTTATTAAAAAGAATGTTATTTTCTCTTAAAACTCGTGCTCATATAATTGGTCACTCAAATTCATTTCTTAATTTTATTTAATTTAGTCACAATTTCACCTCAAAGTCGGAAAACATCTCTCCCCTGGCTTGTCCCCGGGCCGATTCTGTTTATTTATTTGTAATTTTAAGTACTTGAAAATCAAATAACTTATTTAAATTATACATTTCAACAAAATAATTTAAATAAATTATCGTTTTCAAGCAAGTAAAATTGCGTGATTTTTTTTTTCTTAAAAAAAAATTACGTTTACGTTTGTCCCCCGTATTTTGCGTCTCGTCCCCTGGCACGCTTATTTTTGTGTAAAATCGGCATTTGTTTACTGACTTGCGGGAATTGAAGACCTTGAGCGAACGTTGTTGAGTGTATAGTTTGTAATCAGAGCCACTCGAACTAGGTGCGCAGTCATTTAGTCATTTATTTCGTTACTGGCACTCTGTACATACAGTTGACAACGAGTGAACGGAGTCTCTCCCCTGGTAAGTTTTATTTTTAAAATATTCATCTAAAAATTTTAATTCATTCGTATATTTACTTCTCGTTGTGTATAGATTCTAACTTTTCTTGGTTAATTTCATACAATAAATACATTTGTCATTATTTCTATTTTTGTTACTAAAAAGTATCTCCCCTGTTTATATCTCCCCTGTCTTGTAAGGGCCAGGGGAAAGATACGATATCCAGGGGAGATATGAAAACTTTAAAGACTAATTATTATCAATTAATTATTGATAAATAAAATTATAAAATGACTGAATAAAGTTAATACTTCAATAAAATGTTGTTTTCTTGCATAAAATAATGTTAAAATCCTTTCTCTAATCACAAAGTATTCTACTCTGTACATTAAGTCTCTCCCCTGGATGAGTATCTCCCCTGGCATCTTATAAAACGAGATAAAATCAATAAATTGACTGACCGTCTTGCAGGCACGTTTGAAATGATTGTTTTGATCGAACCATTGTAAAATTTGATTTCAATTTCAAAATTTTTGTCGTGCCGCGTTTTATCAATAAGCGATTTACGTCTCAACTGAGAATGACCCATATAAGAATTAGATCAAATTAAGATGTATTTATACATTTTTTTTTTTTTAATAAAAATACATAGTTCTTATTTGTTTAATCACAATAAAGCATCTAAAATGGTACTTTCAAATTTGTTACCCTATCTTTCGACAATCACAAAATTATGTCAATTTTTTTTCACTGTCTAAATCAGTTCCACACTCAGTACTGGAGTCACTTTCACTACAATCTGATTCATCACTAGAATCCGTTGAAGTATCATCACTATCGTCACTATCAGCCAAAGATATTTTTAATTTTTCCATATTACTTTCCAGTGAGAATCCCTGTTCAATCTCGGCCAAATTCAGTCCTAAATCCTCCTTTTTGATCTCCAAACTCAAGACATCCTCCAAAAATTCCCTCCATTTGCTGCGCTCCCAATTCATTATATAAATTATAAAATCTTTTATGAATAAGTTATTCAGAATGTATCTACAACAATCTCCACCCAAAAATATGTAATAAATCTGTATAAGGCATTTTATTATATACATCTCATTCAATTTGAGCAAATTTTTTAAATCTTGTAATATTTTGGTACTTAAATCGAAATTTCTATATAAAGGATATGTCACACTTCTTCTAAATGCTGAAATTAAAGCTTCTTTAGGAGTTTCAAATACATCCAACCAGCACAATGTAGCTGATAGTTTTACTATTGTCCAACCAGATTCCGAGCTAGTTTCAAATGATGTGGTTCTAGCATCATAACAATAACTGAATAAAATATCTATTAATCCATTAAATACATATTTTATTTGCAAATCTGATAATTTGTACTCTATATTAGGCAAATCTTTTATAAAATCAAGCTCCTTATCACTGAAAGTGATATCAACATCTGCTAAATCTTCCCAAGGCGATTTTTCTTCTAATAAACTTAAAATTTCCTCATTTTCGATAAAATCCGCAAGATAATGGCCCATATCGAATTTACCTTGCTCAAACTGCACTCTCAACTTCTTTCTGTCTTTCAAATTTACCTCGTTAGGGTCAATTTCGAATACATCATTAAATTCTGAACTCACCGAAACAAAATTTCTGTGGCCCATCAAAGCGAAACCGAATCCTTGGGATAATTCTTCGTCGCTGTTTAATTTAGCTTCATTATCGATAATTAGAATCTTCCTATCCTCGTAGCTGGTTTCTACTTTGCTGACTAGAAATTTGGTAATGAACTCAAGGTCTTCGAAATGTTCCCCTGGCTCAGCTTTGTCGTGGGTAAAAGTAAATTCTCCCGAATCACAATCGAACGAGCTTTTATAGTTCTCATTTTCGAGTAGTTTACCAGGTAGAAATAGTCGTAGAAAATAGGGTTTGCAGAAAAATAGAAATACGTTTTCATCTACTTCCACTTGGAGTTCACGTAGCGAACAATAAGGTGCTCTGATTTTTACGGTTAAAGATTTTTCATCTTGAGACAATTTGAACCTCGGTGTGATCATCGTTTTCAAAGAAAAATGCAATAAATATTAAAATAAAATGTTTAAACAGTCATGCCATTAATAACAATAACAGTCATAGTTGTCAATGTCTTATGTCATTCTTCTTCTCACTAGTTTAAATTTAGATGGCCTTTTACCGTTTTGACGTTACGGTATAAATATGGCCTTGTCTTATTTAAGGACTTAGGCTATTTTAAAATGAAACCAATTTTTAAACTATAAAATATGAAATATAGGTGCGTCCAGTCCTACAGGAGAGCCGCCAAGACCCAGATTTGGTAAGAAATAATTAAAAACTGGGTACACTTCACTTTTTCACCACCAAAATGGGTTTATTGTGCACATTGTGACGTTTTTACATACACCAAATATCACACTGTGTTCATTTTTTTTGTTCCTTTTGTGTTTATAAATAAGTTTTCACTTGTTCACTGTATCACTTCTATCACATGTGGTTTGTATCATACAATGCTTGTGCTAAATTTACGTTAATTTTATCTGCTTGTTTTTTTTTTTTGTAAAATAGAAAGGATATACAGGGTGTTGCTATATTCGACCGACAACGCTCTACCCAGAGAACTCTTGTTAGTTGATGAATGTGGATATAGGAACATGAACCCTTAAAGGGTTTAGTTATACCGATATAGTGGGTGCTAATTAAGATTCAAAACTTGCTATAAATCAAAAACACCTTTAAATATTGGGATGTTTTTCCAAATTTTAAGAAAGCACTTAATATTTTGACATAAACTAACTTTTGAAAAATGTAACCAGTGGCGCGCTATCAGGGTTAGTAGTAAATTTTATCCCCCTATTTTTAAATAAGTAATAACCTTTTATGGATCTAAAATTAACGTTGTTATAGAAATTAGCTTCTAAACAAAAGTCTGCATGTACTTAATCGAGTCGGTGGTGTAGCAGTCTAAAGCGCTTATATTCATTTATAGGCAAGTTTATGGTCAGAGACAGACGGGCTTCGAATCCTAGACCGGATCATGTGGATTTTTAATTAAATTGCATGGTTCGGTATAGGATTTGATGTGTGCCGTATTAATAGCAATTCAGTTTCTGTTGATATGACATGCTCAGCTTTTGGGGTTAAAATTCACTCGTAAGGGGGAGAATTAGGGAGAGTATTATTATTATTATTATTATTATTATTATTAATAATAATTTGTAACTACTAAATATTTTTAAATTATAATCTAGGCATGTTTCAAATTTTTATTAGTTCTTGTATTTGCGAAGGTCTTGCTAGATTAAACAATACAGTTTTAAACTTGTTCTTAAATTTTGTTATTACAAAATCAATTTTTGAAATTTTGTAACACTGTATTTCAACCCATTAAGGGTTTCTATATCAAAATTCATCAATTAACGGGAGCTCTCTGGGGTAGAGCATTGTCGGTCGAATATAGTATAACACCCTGTAGGTATTGAAATAATTTATACACGAAGCGGATACTGGTCTTACGAACATAGGAAAAGTTGAATCCAATTAATTATTAGTTGTATAGCGGATTTGAAACCCTACTACTGAAGTTTTTGTTCAAAATTTGTTGATAGAGAATGCAGCGAAGGTGCCTTTTCAATTAAAACTTGCTTAAAGTGAGCTTTTTCTTCCATTCTTTACCTTTTTTTTAAATAATATTCCAGGCGAATCCAACGTTTACACACTCGGCAACATTGGCGCGCACCGAATAGTTTGCACCAAGCTGCCATCTGTCGGTCACACTCGAGAGGCAATGACAGCTGCCGGTAATACCACTACACGGCTTTTGGGAACTTTTCAGAAAGTCGATTACGTATTTTTGGTAGGTGTAGGTGGCGGAGTGCCACATTATACCGATTATAACAGACACGTTCGACTTGGAGATGTGGTTATTTCATCACCAGTTAAAAACAAGTAAGCAACTTGTATAATTTCTTTTAAAATTCAATACCTATTAAATATTTATTTTTTCTTTTAACAAACAGAAACATATATTTCTACTGCGAGTCGGCCAAATCCACCGAGAAAGGTAATGAATTCGAAATCAAGCCATACAGTCCTTCCAACGTAAAATTGCAAGAAATCGCTATGCAACTGAAATCGTCGACAGATAGCGATAGTGGTTCGACGCCACCTTGGATGAATTACCTCAGAGACGGTTTGAATATTCTAGGCAGCCATCAAGAAGAATCCGACTTCAAAATGCCCAATTCAGATACCGACAAACTTTACATGAGCATCGGCGAGAAGGATTTGATCGAAGTTGCCCATCCAATACCCCAAGATAGCTCTAGAAAGAGGTAAGTTGAAATACTTTTAACGATTTACATATTGCATGACGGTTGACGTGTGACAAGTTTGACTTTTATAAATGTATGTAACAGAAATGAATTTTTAACAATGACTAATTTTTAATATCTTATTTCTTTGTTACTTTCTGATGGAAGGTCAGCGAAAAAAGTGGAAATTAGAAGATACCACACAGTAAGGCCAGTCGTAAATAGTTTTAGAAAGCCTGTAAAGAGCGTATCGTTCAGTTGTACACCTCGGACGATTTTGAAGAGAACGTTTATGAGGTTGTACGAGTAGTCTAATTGCAAATGTAGAGCTACCACTTTTGGATTTATTTTTGGAGCACTCATCACACAAACGTCGAGAAAAATAAGCACGATACGTATTAGAATTTGTTAAAAATTGAATTAATTTCATTGATTGTTCTACAATGGGTGTATTTGCCATTTAAAATATTAACTAGCACTGCTTATTTATAACCATTAAGACCATTTACTTTCAAAAATATTTTTTAAACATTCAAAATGTCATTTTATTTTCTTTCCCTGTCAAATAATTTTAAACATTCAGTCTTCCGTCCGATATTCTCTAGGGTTAATTTAACCATTCATTTCAATATCAAGGAACCGTTTAATTACCCCTCCAACTGAATTATTTTCATTTAAAACACGATTTGATGGCTTTTTTATTGAAATAATTTTAGAGTTATATAAATCAATAGTTTTTTTTTTGTTTCACAGACTGGAAGGCTGTCCCCGTATTCACCTATCAACGATCGCGTCTGGTCGTCAAGTCGTCAGAGACGACAGGTTGCGTCAACAGTTAGCGAATCAGGTAGGCGCGCTGGCGTTCGATTGCGAATTCGACACCGTTATAGAATCGATTTTGGGCAACTGCAAGGACAGCTTTGTCATTATCAGAGGCATATCCGATTACAAGGATGGTACTAGAAGGAAGGAATGGCAGCCATACGCTTCGTTGGCGGCAGCTAGTGTGATGAAGGCGATTGTTTGCGGATTAGAGAATTAGTTTTTTTTTTTTATTTTAAAGATATGTTTCCAAAGATTAGAGGATTGTTGTGTTTATTATACAGTGTGGTCTGTTTGTTAGGAAAGGAATTAATTGTTTTAAGTAAGATTCTTTGTTTTGGTATTATTTAACAAAGGTGCTTTTTGTCGGCAACTACCTATTGTATATTTTTTTATTTTTTTTTAATTATATTATGGCTTTTTGTTTCCATAAAAACATTTATGGTGCTATATTTCATTTTTAATGCTGATAAAAATAGATTTTTGTACTGTATTTACTGCGTAGCTTAAATTTATGGTCCACACTGTATAATTTTCTCTTTTTTTCAGTACAGCATTTTTATTCAAAAATTAATTCAAACATGACGTGAGTTCATGATAATATTTTTAGTTTTTTCACTTTTGTAACTTTATGTACGATTTTAGACTGTGATTTTTTCCAAAATCACGTTACCTTATTTTTAAGTTTTAGTTTTTTTAACTACCATTTTATTTTTTATGATTACAGCAATTCTTAAAATTAATTATCTTATACGTATTCCGATTTTGCAAAATTTCGACAAAAAAATTTTTGCTTTTTTAAATCCCGGTATCCAATATTTTAGTCCTGTTTTCGTTTTTTTTTTAATTTGACATTTTAAATCCAAAATTCGTCTCTCGTTTTTTTTTAAACGTAATTGCATCGAAAAAGCGTTTTCAAGTTCCTGAATTGGCATATTAAAATATTGTCCTTTAACGCCATCCTACCATTTTTTTTATTATTTTTCAAAATATTTGGCATTTTAATTGTAATTTGCCCTTTATTTACATTTTTATTTTATCAATTTTTAAACTAACAAATCCGAATTAGAAAAATTATTCTATTTACTAAGATTCTTTAATAATAATAAAAGTATCGACATAGTATTAACTATTAAAAAAATCATCGAAAATTTAACAAAAAAAAAAAAGAATAAACTTAATGTGGGCACAATGAATAGAAAACAGTGTGCTGCGAAACCAAGGAAAATTCGTTCATTTCGCCGCACACTATATAATAATGTTAAATAGAATATACTAACTGCCATATTTATAGTTTTAGGGGGACTAAATAAATATAAAATAGAATTTAAAATAAATATACAACGTTCCCAGTGATGAAACTAGGTATCTTAGAAAGTACGAATTAGAATTTCTACAGGGGTAATTCGATATTTTTGGCTCAAAAATATATCATTAAATTAAAAAAAAAATAATTTGATCGTTCCCTGTAATACGAGTAATTTATTTGGATCACTAGGTGGTTTTTAAGAGACTAATAATATTTAGTACCGATAAAGAGATTAATAAAACTGTTTAAATGATTCTAAATTTTATTGAAGTTACCAAAACTTGGTGATTGTATCTAGGTAGAATCTATCTAATTTTGAGACTGTAAAATGTGACATATTGGCTCGTTTTACCGTCAACGTACGTATATTTCTTTGGTGCTAGAGAAGTATTTTTAAGTTTTATCTCAAAATCTTTTTTGTGATTGTCAAGCAGTGCCTTGTATTAATTTTCACACGACTCTTGTAACTACATTTTTAGTAAGAATAATAATTAACATTTCTTTCGGTTATATTTTTTGCACATCTCCGGTAAAGCGTTTAATATTTACTGAAAAAATAATAAAGACAGTATGAACGAGTCAATATGTTATTTAGTAAAGGTGCAAAAACCGTAATTATAATGAAAATAATTGTTGACGTAGCTATTAATTTAGGTACAAGTTTTTTCTGTTAACTTAAAATAAGTTTTACGGCTTGCCATATTTTTACCATTTTTATCACGTATTTTTTGGATTGACTTTAATAATTTTTTTTTTTTTTTTTTTTTTTTTAATTATAATGATTTCTATATTTTATCTATCATAAGTTTTTTTTAGCTATTTATTCAAATTGTTTTGTATAAAAGAGTAATATATTTATTATTTGTAGAATGTATATTAAAAATATGTTTTATTTACCCGACATTAAAAAAATATATATACAGGAATAACAAAAAAGTTACATTTAAAATTGGAATCTGCAAAAGTGTAAGGCAGAACATATGGAAAAGAGGTACTGCAACCATGGGCGTCGTTTGGGGAGCAAAGGGGGACAGTTGCCCCCCTGGCCTTTAAGACTTAATCAACAACGAGTAAGATGCATTACTGATCAGTAAATCAAAATAGTGAAAAAATTTGGAATCGACCATTTTGAAGCTGAACATCAGACGTGGATAGCTAACTTTGAAGCGGAACATCAGACGTGGATAGCTAACTGGAGTACGAAAGAGCTTCGTGTACACAATAAGCTTTCCATTAATGATATAGCGTCCAAACATTGTTAATTTTATTCAGGCACACAAAAAGCTTTAAAAATATTTATGGCTCTTCCACCAACGATGGCGTCAATCGAAAAAATGTTTAGCAGCTATGGCGTGTTAAAACATGCTTGCGGTCAGTTCGAAGTCATGGTGGGGGAAGCAAAGGCGATACTAGCGCAAGCTGCGAATAATACCAAAAACTGAGTTTCTTTTACTCCAATGTCGAGCCTTCCGGAAAGTAATTTCAATTTATTCGGTACCACGGACGAGTTGTAAAGATGCTTTAAAATGCAATTTCTGGGTTTATACGTATATCTTACGCACGGAGTATTGATATGTTCATTGAGATTATACCTTTCGACAATTTTATCCAAACAAGGCCATCCAGTTTTGATGTAATAACTGTTGGTCGATCCATTGCCCGTACACATGAGCACGGCATAGGCGGGTAGCGCTCTGTTTGCACCCCAGGAAGAAGGAAAAACAGGATCTTTGTTGGAATGATAATTTGCAGTTTCCCCGTATAATCTATAGGTAAATTCCGACGACGTAATATTTGCGAGCGAATTTATGGTCATCGGTTTTTTCTCATCATTTTTCAAAATATAGTTGACGTGTTCGACTTTATGGTTCAAACCCACACAATGTTTTCCAAAAATTACGTGCATAGAATTGGCACTTCCGGTTAATGTCGTATCCGTGTCGAATGAGCATCTCACTCCTTTTGGTATTATTTCTACGTAAACCTCTTTAATAAAGGATCCCAGTGGCAACATGGAATATTCTGCTGGAGATAGATAAAATGGTATCCAGTCGACAGGTACGTATGCTAGGCTTGTACTTAAACCCATATAGTTGCTTTCTTTACCCTTTGGTCCTAAATTAAATCGGTGTGATGCAAATCCCCATGTATGCATGATGCGAGATTTCTTAAAAAATGTAAATGTAGGACTTGCCAGTGACTTCATCATATAGAGTACACCCGATCCATTTGTAGGATTTGTAACCCCTTCCGTATTGGACGGATTTCCCATTTCCTCTCCGGCATCTACCTCGTCGGTATTCATGGGAGCATTCCCTTGACTCATTTGGGTACCATATCCTTCGTCTTGTCCAATATCCGAAACGTCACGAGAGGATGAAGGTTGAGCAGGATCTTGTGTAGGATCTCGTCTTGACAATTTTTTATATTTTTCTTCGTGCTTATTGGACATTTCTGGATATAATACACCTGTGTTTTTTTCCAGAATACTCTTGAGCTTTAAACCGGCGGCACCTACAATTCTATTGGTATTATACAGAAAAATTTAATATAACCAAACTTACCGATCAATGAATGCCAGTTACCGGTTGTTGAAAAGTCACTCCAAAATTCTTTTACGGCCTCTTCGTCAGCTCTTAATATGTCTTCTGCCGATATGGCGTTAGCGTAGGCGTAGTCGTGTTTTTCGGCTATGTAATCGTCACTGTCAACGGGCTCCCCACTCTCCAATTCGTTTCCCGGACCCAAATATCGATGATATGGTAACACGAAGCGCGGAGGCATACTGCGAAAGAAATGTTAACGAGATTGCCTTATATAGAGAACCTAATTCAGAAAACGCCTAAAAACAAACCAGCAGCATCGGTTTTGAATCTAAACATACTGGAAGCTTGTCGCAAAAACATATTGTTTTTGTTCCAGCAGCTACAACAGCAGCACCCTGTATAAAAAAATTATATTCTTTATAAAAAAACCTCTCATTCCTTAACCAGCGACTACAACAAGTGGTATATATTATTATAAAATTAACTTATATCCAGGGTGTCGTTCCTGCTGCTGGTTTGGAATGAGAGGTTTTTTTATAAAGAATATAATTTTTTTATATAGGGCGATGTTTTGTAATTTTGGCATATCAAATGCACGTATACATTTTAATTTTTTCTTAAAAAATAGGTAAAAGCAATAAAATGAGCAACCGGAGTTGCTATGTTGTAAATTGTAAAAATACTAGCAAAACAAAACTGTAAATTATAAAAAGTTTCAGAAGCGAAATGGAAATCACATCAAAGAAATAAAAGGATAGCTGTACAATAAGAAAAAATTACCAATATTTTTATAACAGTAATACTTACTGGAAAAAGTAAACATCAGGAAATTAAATTGGTTTAAATAAACAATAAATTATATTATCATTTTACGACATTCTTCAACATATCTTAAATGTTGAGCAAGGACAAGATGTCTGCCTTTGATTATTGTATGCGGCTGGAATGCAATCTTGTGACTTATTGATAGGAAACCAGTTATAATCATCAATTAAAATCAACATATATATATATATATATATATATATATATATATATATATATATATATATATATATTTTAATTACGAATTCAATTAAACTTTGTATTGTCATTATACGAAAATATTGTCCGTTAGTTCATAAATTAGGTGAATGAAAATAGGCTGACTGGGCTATACATGATGAGCGTATATCATAAAATAATCGCGCAAAACAAGAAGAAAATTTAAATTTGCGTTTTCTCAAAGTGTTTTTTTTTTGTATTCGTCGACGTGTATGAATGATTTTTTTATATTTTTGTGTTTCTATAGATATATTTTTTTATTAATATGTATGGCTGTGACTTCTTGTTCCTTTTTTCTTTTATATCATACCTTCTATTTGT